TACTCCACGACCGTACATACCAGGTGAAAATACGATCTACGATCTCCAGTGAAGGGAAAGCGACCAGTGGTGTCCCCCAGGGGTCAATAATAGAACCACTCCTCTACCTAATATTTATCAACGACCTGGCCGAGGAGGTCGCAAATCCATGCCTCATCTACCTGACGACGTTAAAATAGTTGGCGGCTCCTCCAGTTGTCAACCAATACAATACGACTTAAACAGGCTCTCAGCGTGGATGGTAAGATGGGACCTACCACTGAACGCAACCAAATGTTGTGTTCTAAGCGAAAATGCTCCGGAACACCCCCTGCGGCTTACGCTCCCAAATCAAGTAGCTCATACTCTGAATCAAGAGAGGTGTGTCAAGGATCTTGGGAATACAGTCCCAGCCAGCTTTACACCTATCGAACAATGCGCCGAAGCAGCCCACAAGGCCAGGAGAGCGCTCTTAGCAATCAGAGCTGCAATAACCAGCAGAGAAGCCGATTTATTCATCCCTCTGTATGGGGCACACGTCAGACCCCACCTAGAATACTGCGTCCAAGATTGGTGTGGTAATCGGAATAGTTCTGAATTTAGGAATACGAGAATCCGGACTGTACAGCTCATAACTGAATTGGCTCCAATTCGAACTGCGGACACCAATGAAATACAGGAGGAATTGATAGCAGTAAATGCTTATCTTTATTGATGGAATTAGATCATGTTTTATAGAATGTAATAATCCACATCATTGGTTGCACAAGCATCCCTTAATCACGTAACCATTTACATCGACGTATATGTGGTAACTCGGATATCAGGTTCGCCCGGTGTACCACCGGTCGAGCTTCGTGAACAGTGATGAAATGACATGAAACTGTACCTAGTCGTGCATGGAGTGCGGTCGCGGAAGTCCGGCTCACTACAACGCTCTTCCCTCAAGTATGCCTCGTCAATCTGGCTTGCCTGACGGTTAGATCTGCTGCCTAAAATCGTTGGGTCCGCCTGTTCCTGGCGGTGTCCTTGTGTTTCGATTGGTTATTTCTACACATCTGACTGATTCGGCCCCGTCGGCTGTGCTGATGAGGTATGCAACTGACTGTCGCCCTCGCTTGTCTTTTGATTTCGCTGGTCCGTGGATGGTTTGAAATGGATTCGATCCACGTGTCGTTTGTGCACAGTAGCATCATTCAAGTCCGTAATTTCCACGATGGCTTGACCCAGTTGTCGCATGACTATACTAGATGAGGGTAGCAAATCATTACCACGGAAGTATACGACGTCACTGGAGTCGAGGCACTGTAGGGAAGATCGCTAGCGTCTCGATTTAAAAAGCATTGCCGGGCTCTCCTTCGTGGTTGTATGTGTTGCGTTTCGGTATTGGAGTAGGGAATTATCCACCAACGTTTCCAAATCATGTATCGTTTCAGGACGCGATCGCACTCTTGACAGCTTTGACTAGATTCTCTGCGGCTCCGTTTGAACAGCGGTGACGAGGCGCAGTTCGAAGATGTCGGCAACCGATGCTGTCTATTCAAAGTTTCATTTCGGTCGCACAGAACTGAGATCCATTGTCCGTCACAAGCACTTGTGGAATCCCTTCGCGACTAAAACATTTCTGTAGTACTTGTATCACAAATGATGTGGTAGGCGTAGTCGTAAGGAATACCTCTTGCCATTTGGAGTATGAATCGATCAGAACAACGGCGTAGTACCGGTTGAGAAATGGACCACAGAAACTTGATGAAACCTTTGCCATGGTATATAACTTTCCGGCCATGGTGTCCATTTTTCGGTCTTGTTCGTAATTTATGTATACATGCCTCACAGTTCTTGGCTGTTGCGTAAATGTGTGTTCAACTCCGGCCACCAACATATCTTCGAGCCAATGATTTCATCTTCTCCACCCCCATATGTTCTTCATGCAATTCTTCTAGTACCGTCTTCCGTATTGGCGGTGGGATAACCTATTGATCGGCGCGACATAATACACCACCCAATTGTATTGAAAACACCCCTCGATGAGCAAAGAATTGAGGATACTTTCTCTTTACATCTGGCGACCACCCTTTCTTGATCGCTGAGAGTATGGACTAGTAGTACTGCTTGGTAGATTTATGTAAAGATTTCCGAGACACTGGTGGTGCTGGAGTGATGAAATGACACTGTTCGGCCNAAAATAGAGCCGACGCTTCTTTTTGAGTCTGTGAGTATCCCTTTTCTGCCGCATTGAGTAGACGTGAAATGCAGATCACTGGGCAATCTTCTTGTTCTAATACANTCGAGCCAATGATTTCATCTTCTCCACCCCCATATGTCCTTTATGCAATTCTTCTAGTACCGTCTTCCGTAGTGGCGGTGGAATTACCAATTGATCGGCGCGACATAATACACCATCCAATTGTACTGACAACTCCTCTCGATGAGAAAAGAATTGAGGATACTTTCTCTTTACATCTGGTGACCACCCTTTCTTGATCGCTGAGAGTATGGACTAGTAGTACTGCTTGGTAGATTTATGTAAAGATTTTCGAGACACTGTTGGTGCTGGAGTGATGAAATGACACTGTTCGGCCTCTGAAAATCGTGAGTAGTGAGAGAGGAAATCAGCCTGCGGGATGGTCTTTCCTGGACGATGTTGGATGTCATAGTTATATGCGGCTAGAGCGATACTCCACCTCTGTAGCATAGCAGCAGTGGACTTCGTGATGGATTTGTTGGGGTTAAACAAGAACTGTAGCGCTTGGTGATCAGTGATGATAGTAAAAGGCAATCCGAAAAGGTACTTGTGCAATCGTCGAACAGCCCAAAATAGAGCCGACGCTTCTTTTTGAGTCTGTGAGTATCCCTTTTCTGCCGCATTGAGTAGACGTGAAATGCAGATCACTGGGCAATCTTCTTGTTCTAATACAGCACCGATTCCGACGTCGGACGCATTGGTGATGAGTGTAGTCGGTTTTGATGGTGAAAACGGGGCGATAACAGGACGATCAGTAACGCAGCGAATCAACCCACGTAAGATATCTTCACATTCTACCGAACAATCCCAAGCGTCAGAATACAGAGCACGGAAAACCGGATGCGCTTTTCTAGCAAGGTTTGGGATAAATCAGGAGTAGAACTGTAGTCATTCCATCACGGATCTCAAATGCGTTTGATCCTTTAGAGATTCGATGTTAGTCAGTGGTTTGAAACGTGTCGGATCGGGACGGTATCCANATCGGGAATAGTACTGTAGGCATCCCATCACCGATCTCAAATGCGTTTGATCTTTTGGAAATTTGATGTTAGTCAATGGTTTGAAACGTTTCGGATCGGGACGATATCCACAGGAATCAACTGTGAATCCTAGAAACTCCAACTCATTCACTCCAAACACACACTTGTACGGCTCGATAGCCACATTTCTGGCGGCAAATCGTTCCAGTGGCTGCGTAAGATGGGCATCGTGTTCTTTCTTATTAACGCCGAAAAT